TATCTACATGATTTATGTACATGATGTATCTATTTCTTCTTTATCTGCTTGATCTATGTGTCATCGATAAAGCAATAGCTCCACGCTACTTAGGACTGTCTACCAAGGTTGATTCACTCTTTTATATTATCATTTTATTTTTATTTTTACAAATATTTTTTCTTTCCTTTCCTTCTCTTGTTCTTGCTTACCAAATGCTACTATATGTTGTCGTATGTGAGATAAAGAAAAAACACTAAATGCCAGATATCTAAAGAATGTACAGTGCGAGCAAGTAAATGTAAAATAATAAAATTAATGATTTTCTATTGTTGTTCTTGTTTTATCTATCTCTCCCATTTCAATTATTTGACGTTCGCATTGTGTAGCAAGATCTTCTGCTGCTCGTCGTAATGCCGATCTTATAGTTCATTTTAAAATGAAATAAAATAAAACGAATGCAACCAAGGCTAATAATGACAGAACACCGAATAACCAAAGATCGGTGGTATTTTTGTCGCCATTCTTTATAACAAAATAATTACCAATACAAACCATACCAATAATCATGTCGTTCCTTAAATACTGATCTGCCAATGTGTCACGGTATTCGTTTAACTTTAGAAGATCAGTATCAAGAAATGCCATGGTCATTGGTACGAAACGTATTGATTGACTTATTGCATGAACATCGTTGAAGAGTTAATGTAATGATAGAGTTGAATCTAAATCATCATAATAGTTCTTCGATAATCTTTCGATTATCAGCAATTGTTCATTTGATGACAGTAAGTTAATATTCGCATCTCCATGAATAATATCTGTTAATGAATTTTCGAATGAACGAAACATTAATTTCACTTGAATCTTCTTTATTTGTTCACGTAATGACGATTCTTGTCGATCCACTTCATTTAGCTTTTCAATGATACCGCCTAATTTTCCTTGAGTTTCTTCCAAATTAACACCATTGTAAAACTTTCTCATTTGCGTATATGAATGTAAGCTAGATATGTTCGAATAAAATGCAATGTGTTTTAGTTCTTTAACCGTTGCTTGAATTCGAGCTAGTATCTCCAGACGTTCCTTTTGATCTCGTATATAGTTTGACAAAGTAATTGTATCTTTGATCATCAATGTTGCTGATGTCGTTGACTCGGTTGTTGAATGTGGACTAAAACAGGCCAGCATCTTGTATTGAACATCCAATGGAAGCATATCACAGCTGAACTTGTAAATGGGCAACGTGAGTAGCGTGACTGACAGTTTCAGTTCATTTTCATTATCAGCTGTATGAATAACAGCAACAAGAAGCACAAGTTTTGCTAATGTAAGATGATGGTTCATCTTGTAAAGTAGCGTTGTTATGTAAAAGTTAAACATTTTATTTAAAATTAAATTTTCTTTGAAAGAAAAAATGTTTACATTGTGCTATCTCTCATATTTCTATCGATCGATCATCAGTTATAAAAGAAAAAATTTGATTCATCACAGTTTGTTTACGAATTAATGATTGCCTTCTTTTGTTGTCAGCTAAGTTGTGTTACCGTTGAATAGAGTATAATAAATATGTTTTTCATTTGTATATACGTGAAAATATTTGTTTTACAAAATTAAGACAACTCACAGACATATGAACATTTGAAAGGAAACAAATT